TTGCAATTATGCTGAGACTCAATTCTTTCTCTAGAAAATGGGGAGGGAAAAATATTATCTTCCTTAAAGTCTGGTGAGGATTACATGTAACACGAGGATAATGCTGAGAGAAATACTTGACATGCATAGTATTACCACAGGGCTTCACTAAATATTTACCTTTTTATGTTAGGAAAAATAATATTAAAATTAAAAAAATCAAAATCCTGTTCCTGGAATTTTTTTTAGAGCAGTAGCTCACACGTTGTTGTTCAATGTTTACATTCAGTTGTTTTCTATAGGATAGTAAAAAAAAAACATAGAAAAGAACTAGAGACATTTAACTGGAGAGGAAATGGGGGAAAGAGAAAAATCTTTGCAAATTTTAACTTTGGAGAAACAGACCTTTGATAATTGATGTATTTGAGGTGCTATGACATCTACAGTAAAAACAAGTACTCAGATATTTCTTCACGTTAAAAGTATCTGCATGCATTGTTAGGGATATGCCAGTGCATGAGAAGAATGAGAAGAATGGTGGGGACTTTACACTACTATAAGAAATTAACTTATCTTCTTTCCAAAGCGATATGAAACACAACAACTTTGCATAATTGAAAACATGAATTTGATTAACAATCCCACTATTAAGTAGCTTGGTTAAAATTATGTAAATCTCTATGGCTCTTTTTCTCTTTTATAAACTATAAATAACTATATTTTCCAGAAAATCTGTCAAAGTTTGTCAGTTCAGGTTACAAACTGGGTGTGGGGTACTCAAGAATGACTGCTGTCTTCATTGTTCCCTGGGGATCATTTGCATTTCCCATTCCTCCTAAATATTGGTGAAAATAAATAAATGTACAGGGGAAGTATTTACATATTGGAAATTTGACCTATAGTGGTAATATAAAAAATAATCTTAAAAGTCATTGGATATCAGTGATTCTTTTTTAACTGTCAAGTTATAAACATTTTATATAATGCTAAAACGTGGAAAAATGTGACAGTACTTATAGTCCTACTATATAGAGTTTTTCAACATTTTCTGTCTCAGCATTCCCTCTCTATAACGAGAGAGACTAAACATGATCCTAAGGATTGTAGGAGGAAGCAACAATGCTGGATAAGAAATGTACTCTTTACCTTGCTCATATAACTGTAACCTTTCTGTATGGTATTTTCATAATAAAAAATTAAAAAAGAGATGTTCACAAACGGAATGATTAAAGTCAACTATAACATTATGTTATTGATTCTAAGAAAATTTTCTAGCACTTTAGTCTTTGTGTGGTTTTCTATTCTTTTCACAATTTCATTAGATTAGGTACCAATGGCCAATCCACAGACATCATAAATTTAAAATCTGGTTTTACTTCAAGATTTTATTATTTTGAGATCAGTATGTTTAAAATGCTACAGAAGCTATAAAATTAGAAGAAAAATGTCTGGTATCTGAAATGTGTGTAGATAATGATCTAGGATAAGATGTAATTGAAAGCTTATGTTTTATTTTCTGGAGAAGTTATCCCAAAATGGTGTTCAAAAATAAAATTTCAATTAAGAAGTTTCAAAGTAGATATAATTATGTTTTCTAAGAATATACATGTTTCTTCTTTTTTGAATGTATTATCCTATTACTTCTTTCTCTAATTCAAATTATTCTTAAATAAACCACGCCTAAATTCCTAGATTGAAATGTCACTTAAAGTCAATACAGGTGAATACCATTATTCACAGGGTACAATTTGGTTGCACCTCCTCACTGTCAATATGAGTGTTTGCATGTTTAAACCAGACTCCAGACTGGAGCAAATGTGGGGAAAATCAACACAAGCTCATCTCTGTGGAAACTAGCAAAGCAGCAGATGCTGCTACTGGAAATAGCTAAGACTTCTGAATCTTTAGATGGAAAACATTTTGTGAAAAAAATATTTGTTCCTTGCATTGATTCACAGAGTAAAGAGGGAATGTATTATTGCTTAATGTGCTTTAATCCAGCACCAATATGTCTATTAAAAATGGGGGAGCCTATGTAGTCTAACCTCTGTATTTTTTACATTTTCCTTTCTGGATTGTGTGTTGTCATTAAACTAAGTTCACCTCCTCAGATGAATTCAACAACAGCAACAACAAACAAATGTGAATGGTTTTCAAATGATGACAAAAGGAATCCTTGTTTGACATGTCCTTAATTAAACCTTCAGAATACCTGTAACTTGATTATTGTCCTTTTTTCCCCCTTTATCCTGGTCAGAGAAATCCTGTCTTTAATCCTATGTTTGTCCCTCACACAAGATGTTCATCACAGACCAAAGGGAATGTCTGGATACTGTGACACAGCAAATATCACAACTTCTGCACAGTAAAGATTTTATCTGGACCTTATCCAAGACAGCAGTTATGGGATATGGAATAAGAGATATTATTGCATGGGAGAGAACTTTGCCCACAATATAGATTGTTGATAAATGTGTTTTCAACACACCCGGAACAAAAACTGAAACAGAAAAAAAAAGGATTACAATGGTGATAGCCATAAAATCTTTTTTCAGTCTTTACTTTTATTGTTCATGACCTCAAGTGACTTTAAGTCTTAATGTATGGATGTGTTTATATCCATTATAGAACATATCTATCTTGCTTTTTAAAACACTGAATTATGTTGCACATGTGCTCTTACTACAGATCATTTTTGTTGTGATTAACTAACAGTGGTTACAATGGAGTAAGTTTTGTTTAAGTTAAAAATGTGGTTGTAAAGAAAATACTAGTATATAAGTATAAAAATATGATCTTTTTAAATGGTCAAATGTAGGCAATATATGAATTTATAGACAATGTCTGATTTAGGGAGAAATAAAAAATAATTTAGCCTTTCTTACTTTCTTCATGTATAGGAACATACGATATTTAGTCTTATTCGAAAAACTTTTCTCTATTTTTATCTTCTCAAAAAGCCAATTAAATGTATCCAATTTTTTCTTATATGGTGGTAATATGAAGTGGTAATTTTCTTATAAAATAGAGGTTTGAAAATTGTTTGAAAATTAAAATGCTGGTTTGTTCATGTCATTTAAACTTTCAAATAACATTTAAAATAGTTTCCTCACCTTCATATGAGTTTCTGGAAGCTCTTTGTCTCATAATATCATTATTAATCACTGTCAGATTTGTGCCATGGAAGATTTAAAATTCTATATTGTTTACAATGGAGTTTTTATCTAAAATATTGGAGGTATTACGGCTAACTAAGCTCCTTCTCCCCTCCCCCACACAAATCATGGTGGTATCTTTTCTCTACAGTTTCTCAAATTTGTATCTGAGAAATCAAGATATTTTGAGCTCTCTGAGCACTAATTTCCCAATCTTTATCATGTGCTGAATATCTTAGCAAGATGTTACTAGGGATTCTAAAAGTAAAGAGAAAGCTGAGCATAGTACCTGCCTTCTGCTAGGCATTCATTTTCTATGTAAGTTTTTAAAAGTTGTCTTAGAAAAAAGTGTGCAATGACAGCTCATTCCATGGTGATATATTACTAATAATATTTGTAAGACAAAAACTTTATAAAGAGTCAATAAAATGTTTTTGTGACTTTTTAACTATCCAATTTATCTCTACGTGTATTGTATATGTGTTTATTATTCAAGAGGCAAAATAGCAGAATATTTGTTAATCCAAACTACACTAGGCCTTCAAAGTATAGAAATCACTTATGTGTTGAGGAAAATTGAAGTAAATGAAGAAAGGTTGCTATTACCATTGAAAGGATGATTTAAATTCATCTGGCATTTTACATTTTAATAGCCATTAATACAAAATTTTGTATACATTTTAATAACCAGCAATTTGTTTTTTCAGGTGTAGCAATGAATTTTATCATGAATGAAAAATTATGTCTTTTGACTGAAATTTTCTTTATGGTTTTAATATATGTATGCACTTATAGATATAAAGAATAAAAAATGTTCAAAGGCTGATTGATTTGAGTAATTCAATCTGCATACGTGATATTGAACAGAAAAAAATTGAGTAAATTAAGGCAACATGAAGTAAATTATATTCAAGGCTCAGATGACTGTTTTGGTACTAGAGATACCTAAAACCTAAGCAAATTTTAATTCTGACTTGTAGATCAAAAAGGATAGTACCAGTAAGTATGATGGCTTGCTATTATCCAACACAGAAATACCTTCACCATATTCATTTGTCAGTACTTGGGGGAGAGTTGTCTTTGGCCTTCTCACCTTCTATTATTTGTTACCATTATGTGAGGAATATAAAGTGAACTCTTAATTATTAAGAACAAATATTAAATGACACATTTACCTTTTGTTGTTGTTGTTGGTCATGGGACTTGAACTCAGGTCCTGGGCACTGTCCCTGAACTCTTTTTTGCATAAGGCTAGACTCTACCACTTTGAGCCACAGCTCCACTTCCAGTTTTTGAGTGGTTAACTGGATATAAGAATCTCATGGATATTTTTCTGCTAGGGCTGGCCTCCAACTGTGATCCTGGGATCTCAACCTCCTTAGTAGTTAGGATTACAGTCATGAGCCACCAGCACTTGGCACATTTAACTTTCTATATCACATTGCCTTTCATGCTCAGAGCATAGGAAAATTTGGCATTCTAAGATTGGTAAAGTTTAGGTTCAAAGTCAAATGTATTTCACATATTACATTACTTCTTAAATGATGTTTCTTACATAATTTCAACATCAAGCTTGCCACAGAGATACAAATTCTGAAATTATTCTTTTTATTCTTTAGATTTTGTTTATAGATAAAGAGCAATGCATTTTGTTACAAACATCAAAGAGAAGCACTGTCTTATACTTTTCCTTGGAAGAAAGTATAGGTAGTTAAGGCTATTACTATGTAGTAAAACTTCTTTTTGCCATTTAGATTATCATTTAGTATACTCAGAAAAGTGAATAAGCAAAATGAATTCTTTAACTTTCCATGTACTTCCATTATGCCCAATTCATCAAGGTGCTTTTTTCTCTTCTGCTTATAGGGATGACTTGTCAAGCTCGAACGTCATATACAGAAGATGAAGTTTTGTGGGGTCACCGATTTTTCCCTGTTATTTCTTTAGAAGAAGGATTCTTTAAAGTCGATTACTCCCAGTTTCATGCAACATTTGAAGTCCCTACACCACCTTATAGTGTGAAAGAGCAGGAGGAAATGCTCCTCATGTCATCCCCTTTAATTGCACCAGCCATAACTAACAGCAAAGAGAGACATAATTCTGTGGACTGCTTAGATGGACTTGAAGACATTAGCACAAAGCTACCCTCAAAGCTGCAGAAAATTACTGGAAGAGAAGACTTTCCCAAAAAACTTTTGAGGATGAGTTCAACAACTTCAGAAAAAGCCTATAGTTTGGGAGATTTGCCCATGAAACTTCAACGAATAAGTTCAGTTCCTGGCAACTCAGAAGAAAAACTGGTATCTAAAACCACCAAGATGTTATCTGATCCCATGAGTCAATCTGTGGCTGATTTGCCACCAAAGCTCCAAAAGATGGCTGGAGGAGTAGCCAGGATGGAAGGAAATCTTCCAGCCAAATTGCGAAAAATGAACTCTGATCGATTTACATAACAAAACATCTCCTTAGGCATTATTTAAGTTTGATTTAGAGATACTCAGATATTTGGCTGATAAGGCTATTCTCCCTATGGAGTCTGAAAGGTACATTTCCCCCAAAATCCAATAAGCATATTTGACAGCTCTTTATTCCCAAGGATTGTTATTCTGCAGAAAGCAAAAGTTACAGAGGGAGGACATCCTAAGAAAGTTATTAATGGGCATGTATTATCACATCAAGCATGCAATAATGTGCAAATTTTGCATTTAGTTTTATGGCATGATTTATATATGGTATATTTATATTGTATATTCTGGAAATTATATAAATATATATTTAAACGGGTGGTACTATCCCCATCATTTCTAATATATGTATTAAGCCAAACTTGAGTGAATAGTTTTCAGGGCAGTAAACTTACACACACACACACACACACACACACACACACACACACACACACACACACACACACACACACACACATCAACACATCAACACATCAACATACATAAATATATCTGGTAAAATTTGTGATGTTTTGTTCAAAGTTGTAATTATCGTGCATGTTTACTTTATTAGACTAGAAAGGCTAATGGCATTAATTATTAATACCAATATTTTAGCCTTAAATTATTTGTCATTTTAAAATCTGATTTGATGTTTTCTGCTGTTTAAAGTCATGGGAAGTTTTCAATTGTATCTTATCATGAAAGAGTCACAGAAGTTTGTGCTACTACAGACCTGCAAAAGTATAACCATTATACATTTAATTTGTAAATTATAGAACATACCAGCATATGGTATATAATTTTTTTATATTTTTGAAAGTTGCTAGATGGGAATATATCTTGTTTAATTTATTACTTAGTCTTTTCCTGGACTAAATAAGGCTAGGAAATTGGCTTTGTATGCAATCTAATACAAATACAAGCTCCAAACAAATGATGAATATAGTTATAAAAACCAGGTTATTATTGAAAAATATCAGAATCTATGTGTTACTATACAATGGTCCCTGTTTCAAACTGAATTAATTGGATGCATTTCCACTTTGTCTGGAAAATTTTTCCTTTAAAAATATTAATTTGTCTTTAAGGAAACATGGCAATGCAGTGTAGCATATGATAAATATTTATGCTAAAGTATGTCTAACTGAGTCTCTTTTTATGCTCTTCTCCTGTTTATAGCATTTATTGTAAAAGGATGTAATTCTTCATCACCCAAGGAACTTATCCAAGGCTTGTTACTCATAGATAAATAGAAATCTTTGGCCAGACCAGAGAGAAATTAAATTAGATCTCAGTTGAACATAGTTTGCACACTAGTATTTTGTGTATGTTTCTATGTGTATGTATGTGCGCACTGGTTTTCTTGGTGTCTTGGGTTTCTGGCCTCTAATAATTTTGATGATACTATTTTTTGGACCCCAGATATCTGATATTGTCATTAGTAAGCCTTGATTATCAGAAACTAAGCTTCTCATCAGTACAATACCTTCAAAATAAAAATATGAGATAGATTTATTTTCTTTTTTAATGAAAATTTATTAGAATATAATTGATTTTCCTTTAACACTTCTTTGGGCATTTCAATCTAAGTCTGCCTAGCATTAGTCCCCTTCACATTAATTAACTTGTACATCGCTAATGGCTGGTTTTGCTCACCTCATTTCTTATATTTTAGCAATCCTGTCATGATTTTATTATTGGTAAATTACCGCATTCAAAACTCTGAAAATAATACTTTCTGGCTACCTCTGTATTAACCAAATTCTGTAGGTGCAAATATATAGCAGGGAATTGTTACTGGCAAAATGATCAACATTGAAAACCCATCCACTGTGAATAGAGCAGTTGCCCTATCCCTTGACCACCAAACATTCTTAGTTGCTGGATATAGGAAATAAAATAGTAGCAAGCAGGGAAAGGAGACCATGGGGCATAGAGCGTTTCTCAGCAGTGGAAGAAACTATATAGATCATTTAATCCAAAACCTTAAAATTAACAGAGCCATAGTTTACTTTGGAGAGTCATTTTAATTTGTTTTTGGTGCCAAGGAGGAGAACCAACAACAGACTCTCTGAATGTATTCATTAATTTAGAAATATTTTTGCGTGATTTCTGTGTCCTAGGCACTTTTTTTTGGTTCCTAGGAATTTGAACATAACTAAGAAAATGTTCACTGTAAATCATGAATGCTAGTACCAGTAGGAAAGGAAGAAGAATAGACAAAAAAATTGGGACAATTTCCAATGGCCAACATAACAGTTGGAAGAATGGAGTGTAACATAATTGAAAATGACCTTATAGAGTATGAATCAATTATTTAGAGGAGGTGACTAACTTAGGGAGGTGGATAATATTTAGACAGAGACCTGAATTATGAGAAAGAGCTACTCCTATCAAAATTAATTAAACTAAGTGAATGGTATTCTTTTATCTTTTCCACCTATGTGTGGGAAAGGTGGTATTTCTGCATGTTATTGCAGTTTACCCCCTATTTCTAGACTGACCATAGGTCTTGGCTAACCAGGAAGATTCCAGTTTATATTTGTTGTGCGTGTGTAATTATCGGCAGCACTCTTTTTCTCTCTATAATGTTCTGATTTGGATGACATGTGGTAAAGTTTTTGTTGAAACTATATTACGAAGTCTGATATATTTGGATAAAAATAAAGAATTGCTTTTATTCATCTTTCCCTGATTTATTTTTTGGTGACATGGACCATTCTAAGTGAAATCATCTTAATTTTGTCTATCTCAGCCAGAAAGACTTCTTATTAACTTGATTTCATGTAACATTTTTTAAAAGTTGTACATGATATGTCTTTCAACCATGAGGATTATGCATTTTATTGAATGATTTAAAAAAAACCTCATTTTCATTTTAGGAATGGTTAAGAGCTCAAATAAAAGACAGTAAAAGCTAATTAAATCCAATATAAATTTTAGCTCTCCAATGTAGAAGCTATTATTCTCCTTGGAAAAAGTAGACCAATGTGATCTTGGAACTGAGTATCTATGCCATGATCACAAGCAATTATTTCTCTGTATTGTGACCTGAATATCATTAATGACCAGAATCTAGATCCTTTTTTGTAGTATTTTCATGGTATAGCTCTTGTTATAGCAAAATATTTCATTCTATTTATGAAGATGTTGTAAATAAAAGAAATATAATTATTTTGATAATGCTTATCTTCAATTTAAATATTTATTCTTTGCAGCAATATGTAAATATATTTTGTAAATATATAAATATAAAAGTTAAGGGTATTTTCGCATTAATTATTTCTGCAAAAATTTTCGTATGCTGTTTTAAACTCATCTGTACATGGCTTTAAATATTAATGAAAAATATCCATTTATGCTCAAAGTATTTGGTTTAGTACACCTTTTTGTCTGCACAAGGAAAGGTTCACATAATGTAATATTTCTGCTGGCGGGAGACTGACGTTATGGAAGATCTGCCTTCCAATCTACTTGTATCATGAAAATTTCCACCATTCTTCCTTACTTGTGAAGAGTTCAAATTGACTGCACAGCACATCTTAGCATTCTGCTTCAGAATTTATTCTCGATTAACATTGTATATACTCAAATTACTATTAAATTAATGCATTTTCTGGCATGAAATCTATCATTATTTAAATGTACAAGGTCATTTTGCTTACAAAAGTATGAACTCATGTATTCCATACTGCAAGTTCAGTTTTATAAAAGTTACATTAAACTTTTAAAACAGTATTGGGTTTAGTTTTACAGCGTGCTTATCATTTTTCTACTTTCTTAGAGTCAGTTACTCACATTTTTTCCTCTGATTCAGTTTACTAGAGACTTAACTCATGAAACAGTCCTGGAACCTGGTCACTGGCTCTTAGCTTTTTGCCCAAGGTTTGTACTTTCCCACTTGAGCCACAGCTCCACACCTGAACATTTTCCAGTTAGATGGAAGCAAGGGTCTCTTGGACTTTCCTGCCGAGGCTGACTTTGAACTGTGATCTTTAGATCTGAGCTTCCTGAGTAGAAGCATGAACCACAATGTCAACTGAACAAGTTATTACTTGAAATTACTTTTATCATCTGCCACCTGAATTTTGTGGAAGAATCTTCCTAAACTTCTCACGCTTTAGTGATCCAGGCACAGTAAGTAAAGCAGCAAAATAAACAGGTTTCGTGATTTTACTTAAATATTTATCATCTTTTAATTAAGTATTCAGTTGTTTCAGCTGGATGTATTCAATAGAAACAGTTTCCCAATTCTGCACTAGTTATAGGATATATCATGTTCCCCAATCTCAATGGCTTCATAAAACTAAAAGCAGTTAACTTGAAAAATTACTACTGTTTCTGATCTAGTCGATTTAGAGAGGATGATCATCAGACTTGTTATTTGTTTATTCAAGTTATTATTATCTTACTTATGTTTGTTTCTTTTGTTTTTTTAATATTTTATTTTGAGACAAGCTAGCCTCTTTATTGAGTCTTCTGAAGTCTCTGTTTCTCCCTCTGTTTCTCTCCCTCACTTTCTCCCTCTTCCTCTGTCTCTCTGCCTCCATCTAAGTCTCTTTCTCTGTCTTTGCCTCTGTCTGTCTGTCTGTCTCTGTCTATCTCTGTCTGACTGTCTCTGTCTCTCTGTCTCTGTCTCTCTGTCTCTCTTTCTGTCTTTCTCTGTCTTTCTGTCTCTGTCTCTGTCTGTCTGTCTGTCTATCTGTCTGTCTGTCTCTCTCTCTCTTTTCCCTCCCCTCCTCTTTTACCTTCTGCTTTGGTCCTGGAGACTAAACCCAGGAACTTCTATTCCACTGAGCTATATCACCAGCTCACATTCCTTGAAATCATGGCTGTTTTAGATTATCTTGGCTCTGTGGTAAGAACAAATATTTTCAGATCCACTACATTCTCATTATTTATGAAGAATCACAGCTCTACTTCTGTCCTTTCTCAATACAGAATCTTAATCACTTGTGTGGTGACTTGGGAATATTATTTCAAGCCTTCAGATATCTATTCATGATAGAAATGTTCTAACATGGCAGGAAATTTCTACTACATTATCCATTTTATAACTGGATAAAGTGGATTTCTCAATGATCTCTGTGGACATGAGATGTAGTTTCTACATCTAGATGTGTAAAGTCTATGGAGAATCTTTTTCAACAACTGAATATCCAAGATAATTGGAATGCATGAACATAAAAATTCAGTAACTATGGCAATGGTTGGAAACCTGGAGGATTCTCTGTGTAATGGATTTTGATTTTTTTTTTTTTGCTGTGATTTGGATTATTGGTGGGTAAAAGGTGATAAGACCATAAGTAACAGACATGGTCAGGATTGCAAAACACCTTTAAAAAAAAGTAGAGAATAATATAAACACAAATGAAATGTGGAGGAAGGAGGAAATTTCAAGTGGTACACAGAAAAATACATAAATGG